CTCTCTCTCTCTCTCTCTCTCTCTCTCTCTCTCTCTCTCTCTCTCTCTCTCTCTCTCTCTCTCTCTCTCTCTCTCTCTCTCTTTTGTTTTCTTTTGAATGGTTCACAATGGACACTGCTTCAACTTCCCAGAACAGCAGCAGCTTGTGCATGTTGTTATAGAATATCAGAAAGATTTACGCCGAATCTGTCCCTGGTTTTGTACCCTGTGAGTGATCGGGGGAGTCAGGCTGTCGTTTTGATTCGAACTCTTTCGTTCGTCTTTTCTTCCTCCTTTTTTCTTCTCCTCCGTGTAGAACTTTTTGGGCTCAAGTGCTGTTTTTTTTTGTTTTTTTTTTTTTTTCCCAAGCACAATGCGAGGACTGAGCCCTCACAGGGCCCCGACAGACATGCAAGTGTTCTAGGCTGTGGGGCCCCAGCAGGCATTGTGCCCGCCCTAAGTGAAGGCGGGCCTGAATATCCACCAGAGGCCTGTTTACGACATTTTCCATATGTGGGTACTCAGGCAGTTGCAGCACGCCAGTTGGTTACAGGGAAACGTGAGCCTCCAGGCTCTTTCCAGCAACAAGGGCTGCAATGTACAGTTCAGCTCAGGGCCGGGTGGTTGCGCCCTGGCCACACGCAGTGTGAGGCCGACACATCACGCAGCGGCCACGGACAAATGAGAAAGCGGCATTGTCATCACACAGTCTCTGCGAGCCAATGAGAATGCGGCCAACACTTGAAGCCTAGACGGCTACCTGTAGGTGCCCAACCAAAAAGGGCCCAGGCCCTTAGCTGTAGAAGTGGGCATGGGTGCAGACACTGGCGCCCGACTGGAAGCTACTGGCCCCAGCCAGGCCCATGCAGACACAGCAGGGGCTGCACTTTCCATAAAGGAAAGAGGCCAGCCCAGGGGAGGGCATTCTGGCCTAGGCAGGCAATGTGGACACGCTGCTGCGTTGCTGCGCAAGTGTGTGCATGGGCGCTGCTGGTCGGACGCGCGCACGGGCGCAGTGGTGAGGGGGGCCCTGCTGAGGCAGCGGGCACACAGCAGCCATAGCCGGGCAGCTGGGGCGCAGGGCAGGTGATGCAGTGGTCTTCGGGTAGGAGGCACATGGAATGATGCAATTTTTTGTTAAAAAGACCTTCAGGTTTTCTTATAAATAGCATTCAAAAAACGCTGAAATTTTGGGTCTCCTGTTTTTATTTTTGTTTTCGTTTTTTTTTTTGTGTGTGGTTTGTTAATATGGTGTGCACTCTATGGAATGGTGCAATTTTTGGTTAAAAAGGCCTTCGGGTTTTCTTATAAATAGCATTAAAAAAAATGCTAAAATTTTGGGTCTCCGTTAACCACCTCTCGTCGCATGTAGAGGAGATCCAAGGGGTGACGAGGGGAGGAGAGAGAATGTACCTGGTGTATGCTGGTGGTCGGCATTGGTGTTAACGTCACGTACATTGGTCTTCTACTTCAGAGTGACCCAGTTGCAAGAACGTAGATAGGCTAGTTAAGCTGAGTAGGATTGGCTGGGCGCTGCTGGGCGGCAGACAGCAAGTCCGACATCGGATACAGTGTTGGTGTGACCAGAGGAGAGTGGCGACATCGACACCTGATTTCGTTGTATTGCTGTCATTTGGACGGCATCCCCGTGCATTGTACTCTCTGCTTGGTTCATGACTATCTGAGCTTCTTCGTGATTTCGTAACTTGGTTTTCTGTCTATCGCCGCACTTGCTCATATTCTTTGCAACAAGATGCAAAGCCCCGTCTGTTCTCGGGGGTGGCAGTCCGGTTGCTCATCACCGGCAAGCAGAAAGTGATAGGAAAATCGCGAAGAAAAGGTTTTGGAGGGTATCATTGGTGCCCCTAGGGCACCAACGCTGCGGCAGGTGCTGTCTTGCCATATAGCGGAATGCATTATGATTATAGCTCTGTCAGGTTCTCTATTCTCTCTCTCAGTTATAAGTTAAAATTTTATTAGAATGAGATGATAGAACAATCCGCCCCACACATGAAACATAGAAAGCGGAATGGTATAGTAGATAACAAATGTACAATTTACAAAATGTTATACATCAATGACAGAGGTATATGTTTTGTCATTACCCGATAACAAGTCGGTAGCTTTTGTAGTTGTCCTTCAGGACATGCGTTAAAATTTGAACGGTGCAGACAAGAGAAGATTAGCATTGCCGCTGCGCAAGGATGACATGCATAGATCGAGGAGTGTAGTAGTGTACCAAATTTAAAAAAAGAAGAAGAAGAAGAGAAAAAAAAAAGAGATGAAAACAAAACACTAGAAAATGCAGGAATTGACAAATTTCTTGAAAAAAATAAAAAAATACTGTTTAGCATATGCAGTCTTAATCTGCCTGCTCAATGACACAAGAGATGTATTGATAAATTAATAACAAGAATTTGTTTTTTTTTATTTTTTCTTTGTTTTGTGTGCACCATTTCTCGATTTATGAGTGTCATCCTTGCGTAGGGGCCACGCTATCTTCTCAGAATCGTTCCAATTTTTTTAAACGAATGTCCATTTTTTAACCTTTTTTTTCCTTTGCGAGGAGTTGTTGTTGAGGAGGAGGAGGAGGAGGAGGATTAAAGAGGAGGAGAAGGAGGATAAAGAGGAGGAGGAGGAGGAGGAGGAGGAGGAGGAGGAGGTGGAAGAAGAGGGCAGTTTGCAATAAAAGTAAACAAAATTTAACAAATACGATGTGTTGTCTTGCATCCTCCCTTCAATCGCCGGGCTTCTTCGCACTATTCTCGACAACCCACAATTTTGTCGACCCATCCCTCTACTAATGATGCAGCCAGTCGATAAAGAGGATTGTATGTCCCTCACAACCACCTCGCCCCCAATGATCGAAGTCGCCAAGCTGCTCTCCCATGCAATATCAAGCAGCTGCCGTGAGTAATAACACCGGTCCAAACAATGATGGCCTTCAGAAGCACTGCTATGTCTCTCTCCAAACATGGCGATGCCACCTGGTTAAAGTCCAGGACCGGCGAGCTTCTCTCTCTGGGTACAGAGCTTTTGTTTTTTTTTCTGTTGTCTGGTGACTCGACTCTGTTCCAAGAATGGATTTTTTCAACGAATCATTTGAAAGCAACAACGAGAAATTGTTTGTCTGGCAAACTTTGTTTGTTTGTTGTTTGTTTGATTAACTTTGTTTGTCTCTGTGTCTTTTGTCTTTTATCTTGTGTGTGTGTGTGTGTGTGTGTGTGTGTGTGTGTGTGTGTGTGTGTGTGTGTGTGTGTGTGTGTGTGTGTGTGTGTGTGTGTGCAGCTTATCTCTACTTTGCTGCCGATGCAAAGATTTATGCAGCTGTTCTTCTGGGTCTCATTTTGCCACAGATGTTCTTTCAGGTCTTCCACTGCACCTATTTCAGTATTTCACTACTTTCAGTATTTTACTATTTAAAAAAAAAAAAAAAATCCATTTGAAGCTGGGCCACGTTCCCAGTTTCCTGCTGCCAAAAATTCACCCATGTGGCTAACCATAACTGTCCGGCTTCTGTTTTTTTATCTTTTTTTCCCCCCAGCTTATCAGTAATTGCACTTTTATTGCTGACACCATGCACAGTCACCTCAGGTCAGGTACTTCAGTGAAAATGTTGCAAAACCATTGGCTTGATTCCTGCTCTTAATTTTCAATTTTCATCAATTGTGATGAATGTGTAGTCTCTTTTTTCTGTTTTTTTTCTTTTTCCCTTCCAATAATGTACAGCAGCTGCCATCTCTCTTTCCAATTATGATTGCAGCAATATTGAGCTGTTGGGGGGCGACATCCTAAGTTATGCAGCTACCGCTCGGCAAACTGGTCACCCTCCCCCTCACACTTTCTTGAATGTAAGGCCATACTCTCACCCTCACTCTTTCGTGAATGTATCTGACTGCGATTTCGGCCAGACCTGCATGCATCTGACCATAATCTCATCCAGTTTCTCAGTCGAACGAGTCGTAGTTTGAGCATGCCCTAACTTGTTTCTCTGGGTCTTTGTCTCCAATTTCTGTAGGCTAAGTATTTTCTGCCGGACCCTGTCGCAAATGACGTCAAATACCAGGTAAGCACCCCCCGCGCCCCCCACACCACCACCACCACCCACCGCCCCCAAAAAAAAAAAAAAAAAAAAAAAAAAAAAGAATTTTTGGCTTTGTTTCTCTTCCCTGGGTTTGTGACCCTGTCAAAAAAAAAGACCATGAAGGAATATGCAAACAATGTCTGAACGAATACGTCTTCTCAAAAATTTTGAACTTTTTTGAAGTGTTTTGTGAATTTTTTCCTAAACTTTTTTGTGAAGTTTTTTTTGAAGTTTTTTGTGAAGTTTTCTGTGAAGTTTTTTCCCATTTACTTGGGAATGCAAAGGAGGGAACAAAGCAGCTTTATGATCAGCTGCTGTCTTTGTTTCGGCGTTCCTTTTTCTTCTAAAGCGAAGGTATATTCTTCTCTCGAATTCACGACCTAGTACCTACTAATCGTATACAGGGGACCCCTGCAAAGCAGAGCTACCTCGCCCAACGAAGGGGGTGCATGTCCCCCCGCACGCTAATCGGCAGCTGTCAGGGACTAGGGTATGGTCAGGGACTACCGTCTTCACCCGAATACAACGCCCTGTCATTATTGCTGCATCTGGACTGAAAAATGCCCGACCGAAATACAGCGATAATGACCAGGCCTTATATTCGGGTGAAGACGGTAGGGTGGGGTTGTGGGTTGTGGGTGGGGAGGGGAGCCACTAACACGAACACTGCGCCTGCCATCTACTTCTCGTGCCCCCTCCCATCGAGTACCAGCTGTGTCTAAGGCCAAGACGCACCCTCTACACACACAACCCGCACACGCGCACACAGACACACACATGTGCCTTAGGGGCTGGGAGTCACTAAAACGAGTTAGAATTGCACTATGGGGCAAGATACAGTTTGCAACTGCACTTGGGGCACCGTACCTGGCCAGAGAGATGGGTTGTATACATTGCCCAAGCTGCGATTCGAAACTGTATCTTGACCCATAGAGCAAATATAACTCATTTGTGTGACTCTGGCGTAGTTTCCGCCGCAAAAAAAGAAGTAAACGAATGGGTTAAAGAAAGACTCCGGCGTTAAAACAAGGTAAATGGAAGCATCCTTCCAGATACCACCTCGCAACTGGGCTAAAGAAAGACCCTATTAATACCTAACAGGGGGGGCAGGCCAACCATCTCTCAGTTGGTTGGCACCAAATGTGCCTCAGCCCGTTTTAAAAAAATAGGGATCAAAGTTATTGAGCCCACGAAAAAAAAAAAAAAAAAAAAAAGTAAAAAGTTATTGAACCCACGACCTCCTGAATGGCACTTGTGTTGCCTAAGCAACTGAGCTATGTCAGTTGCTTTGGTCATGACGATCGCAGCCGAAGGAAAGAAAAAGAAAAGGGAAATTTTTAATTGAAAAAGTATTAAAAAAAAAAGAGCATAAGTTTGTGGCAGTCATCTGCTCTCTAGTTACAACCAGAATGACCTCTCAAGGAGGAGGACAACTCACATAAACCACACCTCCCTCAGCACTTCCTTTGAGGAATGCAGCAGCAACTTTGAGGAATGCAGTCGGCATGAGACAAATGAGGATCTTCTTCACCCGGATAGAAAGTACAGTTTTTTTATCGCTGTATTCGGGACTGAGGACATAATCACTCGGCGACCCCAAATCCACAAAATTTGCGGATTTGGGAAGGGCCGATTTGAGGTTTTGGGCATGGTTCACGCCACACTGCTGTACCTTTTCAGACGGGACAAGGTGGCAGCCGTCTGGAGAAATGGGGATTTGGTACTTGGCTGGTCATACGGCGCCATCCACAAATTGTGCAAGAACTTTTGTGAACGAAATTTTGCCAATTTTTGAAGAAAATGCAAAAAAAAAAAGGGCATTTGCGGTCACCTCCAGAGGTGACCGCAAAATCCCTTGCCCCGCGGCTTCCCAGACCGCTGACAAATGGGCACAGGAATAGTACATTTGTGAATTTGGTAGATCTGCGTGACCGGCCTTTTGGCCCTTTTCCCCTTTTTTTTGGAATTTTGGGAGTTAGGTCCCCGTGTGAGTATGCCCTGAGAGTTGGCCCAAATACAGCGAGTGTAATGACCGTACGTCCTTGGCTCCATAATACGAGTCCATATCCATTCTGGGAAGCGTCAGTGCGGTTCCAGTCAGTGCGGTTCCGACTCCACCAGCAAGTCAATACAAGAGTAATCCAACACATACCCACTTACGCCTCCTTCCATACGGCGGAAGGATCCCTGAACAGCATTGACATTGATTGCTCCAGTTGGTGGAGGATAGACTGTCAGCTTGCCTTTCCCTGTAGTTCCTCTCAGGCTCTCCAGTAAAGAACCCGACAGATAAAAATGAATGCCAGAGAAAGTCCTTTGGGACATCTGTTAAACCACCAGTACTTGGCCCAGCTATCGGCCGCGGCGCTTCCCCATTAACGTGCCGTGCCTTTAGGGCTTCGGGGTACCGGACCACAATGGCTGGAAGCGCCAGCCAAAAACAAAACGAAACGGTACCCCGGCGCTTCAGCAAAAATCGGCGCGCAGGGGCATTCCAGGCTCGGCATCGATAGCTGGGCCAAGTACTGGTGGTTTAAAATTGGAATGATACAGAGAAGGGTGATTAGCATGGATGGCCCCTGCGCATAAATCGAAGAAATGGTCGGAAAAAAAATATGTATATATCGTCAAACAGAGCTGCCCGGTAAACCGTATGCAGACTCGGAGAGGGAGAAGAGGACAACAAACGAGGGGCTGTGACAAACTGTTTCGTCGGAGTTTCACCGACTCATCAGGAGGCTGAACCCTATATATATGTATACATATATTGTCAAACAGAGCTGCCCGGTAAAGCGTAGGCGGAGAGGGAGAAGATTTCAGTTTAGACCAGCTAAGCATGCGTCGAAACCATGATAGGGTGTCTATGCTGGCGAGCACGAATGGTTTGTTATCTGGGATTGCTTTTTTTGCAGGCAAGGGTGTTGATTGATATTCTGGTTGGTCATTGTCCCATCGTTTGGCCTGTGATGTAGGGGGCGGTGCTTGCATGTGGGACTTGTCATCTAGAATCTGCTATGTTTGTTTCCCCCTGTTTTGTAATATTTGGCTGCCCACTTCCTCTTTGCCTTTTGGCTGTGTGCAAGTGGGTCGATATGACACACGGGGTTGGGGGCAGCCGCCGCTCAACAACATCCACGTGGGCGGCTGTGTACGCAAGAGGTTCTGAACAGGGGGAGTTGTAAGTTAGAAGATAAAAAACAAATTGATATCTTTCTTGTTTCCTTTCCTTTTTTTTTTGTCGCTTTTGCGCTCTGACATCTTTGTGACAATATTTATAAGTTTATAACCACAACTGGGGTTAAGGTGTTTTATGTCACTTACAGTGTAATCAGTTAGGACATTCTTCGACCGCCTCGCCCCTAACAGGCCATCTTCAGGGGTTAGCGCACCGTGAGACACACAATAGAGACAAGTGTAGCATTATTATATACCTACATCCATCCTAATAGACACTAGCTAAGTTCCCAAGAACCGGACCGAAACAGAGAGAACCCAGGGTACCAATACCAAATTAGAGGATTCCAGACCGGCCCAGATGGGCCCAGCAATGCACCTGGTCATAGTCCTGCAGAATCATAGGGTCCACCAAGTAAAACAGCGAACCCAGTTGTTCCAGACCCCTCCAGACTTTATATTAAAATTTATCAATGCCTGCCATTCCCTGGTCAAAAACTTTGTTAAAAAAAAAAAAAAAAAAAAAAAAAAAAAAGTTCAGAAAGTCCCGAAGCATGAGTTCTATTTTCAAAGACCAAAGAAGGTAGGGGGCTTCGCTGGCAGTCTGTGTGAACCTCCTTTTCCCAATGCGGATTTTGTTGCGCGCCAATTCCTGCTGAACCAGTGTGGGCAAGCTTTTTGCCTGGCAGTGCCAGCCTGTTCTGTCTGGTAAGCCGGAGCCACGATTTTCTGGTGGGTGGACTGGCACATCGGAACAAAATAGCCGGGAAATGGACTGGTGGTTAAAAAATAATAAAAATTAATAATTATCAATTAAAAAAAAAAAACATAATGAATAAACAAAACAAAACAGATTCATTGTCTTTCGTGGTTTGATTGGAAAGAAAAGAAAAAAAAATCGTAGTTTGATTTCATGGGTAAGTGGCAGCAACCGATCAACCGCTACAGCGTTAGCTCACCCTTTTTTTTTTTATTATTATTTTTTTTTATTTTAAAGGCTGCCTTCTCCTCATCGGGGACGGCCATATATTTTTCTCACACCTCACATATTTTTTAACCGGCGTTCTGCCATGTCATGGAAAACATATCTTTTTTTTTTTTCAAAACTACACTATGTTCTTCTCTCAAATTCCTTTTTTCACCTTTCACTACCTTCCTACCACTACTCCTAAGACTATATAGAGGGGACCCCTGCAAGCATAGGGCCTCGCAAGCGAGGTAATTCATGTTGCCCCCCGCCCCAACAGCGGTAGTCAGGAATGGGGTGGGGCCGCCGGTGGGGGTCCAGCTAACGCAAAGACCGAGCATTTTGCCAGTAGCTGTGCCTCCCTTTCTCATCGTCCCCCACCCCTCATCAAGTAGCAGCAGAGGCTATGGCCAACGCTCTCCCACACACCACACACAACCCACCTGCGCTCACACTCACACCCGTGTTGGTCATAGACCCAGCAAATACCGATCAGGGGTATCCAGAGGACTATCACAGTCCACTGGCACTAAGTGTGCCGCAGGTGGCCATGGAAAACATATCTTGCTATACAAGGGACCCTTTTTGACTTTTTTTTATTTAAGCCGTAACCCTAACTAACGTTATTGAGCAGTGGAAATATCATTTTGCTCTCTAAAAAAAAAAAAAAAAAAACTGACCAGCGGCAACTGATAATCCATATGGCACAAAGTTGAGCAGTGGAATATCATTTTGCTCTCTAAAAAAAAAAAAAAAAAAACTGACCAGCGGCAACTGATAATCCATATGGCACAAAGTTGGTTCACCCTTCTGTTTACCCCCCCAACCCACAAAAAAAAAAAAAACCTTCTGTTTCGCCGTTTTTCAAGGGGTAGTAGTCCCTACAATTATTGTATCCATCACATTCGAACTCATGATCTGTTTAACTTTTTTCTGTTTACAGGCGAGCGCACAACCGTTCCTTGTCTTCGGCATTTTGACGACGGCACTTGCAATCGGACATCAAGCTCTGTGAAGATGCGAGTTGCAGCTGAGGCACTCAGAGGCAGATATAGGCTTAGCGGGCGGTGGCATCTGTATTTAATTATCTTTTGGATATTCTTGATGGAGCAAGATGGACTGTTCCAGAATAATTGATTTCTTTGAGGAGTTTTGACGGCTGTCTTCAGGCGAAGCTTTCTGCTTCAGTCATCAAGTGCTGGGAGGGAGATTGGGATTGGTTTTCATGACCTTGTGGGGTTGCGGTAGGGATAGGTTTGACCGAGACTGCCTTGGTTAGCCCGTTTGGCCGCAGCAAATGATGTAAGGGACGCCAGGCCCGTTTCCCGGTTATATGATATCTGCTTTGTTCAGGGGGAAAAGAAAAAAAAAAGTGCTTGGAGGGAGAAGGGGAGGCAAGTCCTGAAGAGGGAGCAAAATAGAGAAAATTTGAAATGCATTTGGTATCCCATAGAGATGTTTTCTAGTACAACCTTAATTTCTTCTCAAAAGGGCACATGAGGGGCAAACAGCATGCTGCAGGTGTGGTCATCCCACACACAAGTATTTCCAGCTTCAGCAAGCTTGAGGAGGTTGCAGGCTTGAGGGGATCACAGGCTGAGTGTGATGGACATGAGCATTTGAGAGGATGAGGGAGCAAGTTGGAATAGAAAGGTCATGCCAAGGACAATAACAGTAATCTGGCGGTCCAGGCCTCAGAATGCAGGGGGGGGGAGAGAGAGAGAGAGAGAGAGAGAGAGAGAGAGAGAGAGAGAGAGAGAGAGAGAGAGAGAGAGAGAGAGTGGGGGAGAGGGAGGGAGAGGAAGGGGAGGGGGGGAAGAGAGNGAGAGAGAGAGAGAGAGAGAGAGAGAGAGAGAGAGAGAGAGAGAGAGAGAGAGGGTGGGGAAGAGGGAGGGAGAGGAAGGGGAGGGGGGGAAGAGAGGGAGACAGGCGGTGAGGTCATGTGCTTTTGCCTTATCATTGGCTGGTTGGGAAGAGAGGGAGACAGGCGGTGAGGTCGTGTGTGCTTTTGCCTTATCATTGGCTGGTCGATTTACTTATGCGGTTAAGTTCTTGGCAGACGAGCGATCTGAGGCTTGTGGTTTCAACTTTCAAGTTTGCGTCAGCTTCTTGGAAGCTCAAATTAAGTTTATGAGTTTTAGATATACATATATATATTTAGAGCAACACAAGAGGCATAACAACTTCCAGTGCCTCAATGGTTTGTGCAGTATAGGCAAGAATGCTGTGTGTATGTGTTATTTTGAACCTTTTTCCATTTTGTCATTGTTCTGTTTCATCACTTTCCTGGCCGCTTACTGTCTGCCTGCTTCATCGAAACCGTTCTTCGACTTTCTGCTTGTGCTCTGCTCTCAGGAATGACCTATCGTATCACTTGGCGTATCGCGCACATCTGCAGTGGCCATAGCAGCTGGCACTCTTGGCCTGAGCCTGCTTGCGTGGGAGTTGGACCGGACTGCCTTGGGTTCGTGTGATTTTGGCAACAATGCAGCTGTACAAGATCAAGATTTTGCCTTTCGGATCTCGAAGTGGTTCTTCAACTTCTTTTGTGGGCTCTGCTTTTGGTCTTGGCATATCGTTATCACTACGGATAGGCACACCACATGCGTGCATAACTCACACCCGTAGCCTTAACCATCTTGGGTGTGGGTTACACCTGACTGTCTGCCCACTTATAATAACAGTCATAAGTTCATAATGTCTTTCTTTTTGCTATTCCTTGTTTTTATTAACATATCTGGTGTGAGAGTAGGTGATCACATCGATCACCTGCTCCAACTTTCTTCTCCAGCATTCCCTCTCTCGGATGGGCTCATCAATCGGCCGTTTTGTCGTGAAGAGAATGTAGGTACCTACCTACCTGGTCCAACTTCCTGGCAGATTTACCTATGCGGTCCAGAGTTCGATTCTGTCTCAAGGACCAATAATCAGCGCTTGTCCAGCCACTCGTCCAGCAAAACTACCGTTCTTCCTTTTCTCTCTTGCCTTTCTAGCGACGCATAGCCCCTAACAGTAATACGCCCCCGAATCAGTATTTGAACCGGTTGTACGCCTACCAACAGCCATAGGTGTGTACTATTCGGCCACAGGGCAGGTACACTATCTGTCTATTGTCCCAATTATAGTCCATACACTTTACAAGTTTACACACTGTGTCTGTTCTTTTTTTTTTTTGGGTGACAGACATAGTGTAGTATGGTAGTACATATTACATGCACATTCTACTCTCTCTCTCTCTCTCTCTCTCTCTCTCTCTCTCTCTCTCTCTCTCTCTCTCTCTCTCTCTCTCTCTCTCTCTCTCTCTCTCTCTCTCTCTCTCTCTCTCTCTCTCTCTCTCTCTCTCTTGTGACAGACATGTGGAAAGAAAGAGAGGATTTGACAAGACACTGTTCCGCGGCAGAGTATGACAAAATCATGAGCATGCGATGTCCTCCACTGGTCAAACATTGCGCTGCACACTGCATTGGTTGGAACTGGAAAGGAGTCTTGTCAGAGATTTCCAGTCTTGTCAGTGTTACTGGGACAAAGGCGGCGTGTGCGGGAAAGCTGTCAGGTGCCTACCGGTAGTGATGTCAAAGAGGATGACTCAGACACCCGTCATGACTATCAAGTTATACACCCTGCGCGGCCCTTGGCGAGAATGTGACTGTGCACAGTCCACAGGGTTTCCAATGCACCCTCCGATATGTTCCCATTGGTGGTGTGTCGAATTGCACTACATCAACCCCAGGTTCAGGGTCTCCTGGGGCATGGGGCATGGGGCATGTGGCCTTTTCTCTCGCAAACTCTCTTGTGGAATTTGTTATGTGTTGGAATTGGAAAGCTGCAAGTATTCTTTCGATTATTAAAGTTTAATTATCGGCCGCAAGGGATGCTCAAGAATCACCGGGAAAGAATTTTAAAAAAGGGGCAGAAGAGGGTCAAAATTCACCTCTGGCCAAACATGACTTTCTGGCAAAACATTTTGATCAGCAAGGGCAGTGCCCGACGACTATTTTACTCGCCCTGGACTGTCTAAAAGGTCCACGCCATTTGCGTTATGGTCATCCTCACTTATCTTACTCTTACATCTTGCAGGGCTATTCGAGGAGATCCTGAAGGCAAATCCACCTACCAGAAGAAAGGCGAATCCTCCAACCAGGAAGACAAGCGTTCCGCTTCACGCAAGCACTACGATGAAGACAGCAAGGGCTGCGATTACAACAGGGAATCCAAGAAATTCCGCGTCGACTCCAACTCCGCAAAATCAGAATCCATCACCAAGGATGACTTCACCACCCTGTCTTAGCATTTGCTCGTCCATTACCATACCATCCGTGTCAGCAACCCTCCGAAATTTCTCCTCACCACCGTCCAGACCTCCGCAAAGCGATCTTCACTCTTCAGGAACCCGCCTTTTGGCTCCGCCCTCCAGAAGACTTATTTGCAGCCTCCACTTCATCCTCTTTCTCCAACTGGAATCTTCTTCTCTCTTCCGCCTCCCGAAGCTTTTCTCACTTTGTTCTTCAATGGATCAAGCATGGAGTCAAACTCAACTTTGTAGGCACTACTCACTCCCCCACCCCCAAGAAGATGGAGGTCCGACGCATGCTAAAGGATGTTTGCTCTGCTTCTCAATTCAAGCATGTTCTTAAGCTTAAATTTTCACCCCCAACAACCATCCCTAATCACAACCTCCTTCCTCATCACCTCCTCCGTCGCTCAACTTCTTGCTTCTCATGTCATAGAGTTTCCCCCCTCCCCAATCGTCATCAACCCAGTGTTCGTTATTGGGAGGTCTTCTAAAACAATATTCATTCTGAACGTCAGATTTGTTAACCTCTTCCTCTCCTTTCCTCACTTCCACTATGAATCCTTCGACGATTTGTTAATTGTCCTTTCTGGTCATTCTACTCAGGATTTTCTTACTTGCTTCAACATAAAGAATGGTTGTTATTCACCCTGAGCACCGTCCTTTCTTTGCTTTTAATTGGAATGAAGCCCCTAATCGTCATCAACCCAGTGTTCGCTATTGAAAACAAGATTCATTCTGAATGTCAGATTTGTTAACCTCTTCCTTTCCTTTCCTCACTTCCACTATGAATCCTTCGACGATCTGTTAACTGCCCTTTCTGGTCATTCTACTCAGGATTTTCTAACTTGCTTCAACAAAAAGAGTGGTTGTTATCGCATTCCTATTAACCTTGAGCATTGTCCTTTCTTCGCTTTTAATTGGAATGAAGCAAACTATCACTTCAACACACTTTGCTTTGGTGTTTCGTCAGCATGTTGGATTTTCACCACTGTAATGCAAGAAATAATGACTGAACTTAGAATTTGCAACGTCCTTATCTCCTCCTATATTGATGACTCTGCTCTAGCAAACTCCTTCATCCCTTCCCTTATCTGGCAAAGATTCAACAATGTCGCCCTCCTTCACAATTTCGGTTTCTTTCTCAGTATCAACAAGTGTTCCTTTCTTCCATCCCAATCCATTAAATATCTAGGATTCATTCTGGATTCGCACCACAAGATAATTAAAGTTCCAGATGACAAGGCTCGAAAGATCACTCAACCCATTAATGAACTTTTATCTGAACCAATTTAAAGTGGATCACTTGCAAAAGTTGCAGGAAAGTTAGCCTCACTCCCTAAAGCCTTCCTTCCAGCCCCACTTTTTCTATCATCCCTCTACGATTCCATCTCATCAGAAAATTGAGACTCTATCATCTCCATCTTCAACAATCTTACCCTAGACCTAACCTGGTGGCTTCATCACATACCTTTTTTCCCTTGCCGCTTTTAGATTGTTAGAAAAAACACCCTTTTCATCGCAACAGACGCTTCGTCCTCGCAAATTACAACAATCATTAAACTCCTTCTCAATAATGAAATTATTTTCAATGATGCCTCCCTATCGAACCCCTTGACTCGTCTTCCACTCATCGCGAACTGTATGCAGTCCTTCAAACCTTCATCTTCCTTTTTCTCAACCATGAGGACCTCTTGCTATCAACCTCAATCAGGCTTCACCTGGACAGTCAAGCATTTTTTTTCCTACTTGCAGACATATGTTCCTCGGACCCAATCTTCAACCCATGGCTCAGAAACATTGCATCCATCTTAATCACATGTGACACCTCCCTCCACCCTATCCGGGTTCCCCGCGAACTTAACCAACACGCCAACCATATATCCCAAATTAAGGATAACTCGGATTGGGGTATTTCATCGCATGTTCTGAAATATATTTTGGCGGAACTCGATGCTCCGACAATCGACCTCTTCGGTTCGGATTATCACCACGTCTGCCCTACATTTATCTCCAAAGATGGTCAAGTCACGCTCTAAACGTCGAAGCCCTATCCCTTGATTGGAACAACCTTCCAAGCAAACCCTACAGATGGATTTTTCCCTGACATCTCTCATAAACTCAATCTTATCTCGTACAACACTCTCCCCTACCCTTTATCTACTTATCGTGCCCAACTCCCCTAAACCTACCTGGTTCCCAAGACCTCAGCAGCAAAACATACTTGGAATTTCAAAATTCCCCAATCCTCATTCTCCTGCATTCCTAGTCCGAGAGTCCATCCTTCCTTCTTCAAACCCACATTATCCGATCTAAAGGCTTTCTTATTTCAAACTTAATTTTCACATTTCCTCTTCCAACCACGCTTCATTCCATACCCATACCACATAAACGCTCTCACACTCTTCCAAGTTTCCTGACGCATAATCTTTCCCAAACTTCATCCTTCCTCTATTCCAGCCTGAACTCCACCTAATCGGAAACTACGCCCTGTCTCCCCTTCAAACACCCCCGCCTCCCCAAACCACTTCTCAATTCGCTTATTGAATTCACTACCACCTAATGCACCACCGCCACGACGACCTCGGAACAAGTAACCACTTCTCACATCCTGCCCTATCCGTTCGTAAGCAACTATCAAATCACCCAGAATTCATAAAAATGTTTCCTCCCCCTCTATAGGCTCGCGCAATCTTATCAAGAATTTTCCACCTTGCCGATCAGTTTTTGTATATTCAAGTCTCACTGTCCTCTCCCCTATGTTGATTTTCGAATATTGTAAACTCAATCCCTCTCCGCACTACTGCCAACTCTCCCATGAATAAAGAAAGATTGCAGCATCCCTGTATGCCTCAGCTTCCGCCACTCCTTTTAATGTTAAAATTTTATTTCTAATAAACTGTATAACAATCCCTAATTTCTCCCATCGCAATGGTCGTGCGGACTCCTCCGTCACTCTCCTCTGCAACGCATATTCTCGATACACTTTTCGAAACGCCTTCACTCGACTACTCTAACAAGGGTCATCACTCTCCTTCCCTAACAATCAAAAGTTGTTGCTCAAGCAATTTATGGCAGCATCAACAGTGGAAGGAGATACAATAGGAGTTCCCTCCAAATCTGCGGTTCGACACTGCCCTTCCACCTCTATCAACCACTAGTTACTTATAAAGGATAAAATATAAAGATCAATGCATCACATGCAATCTCGCCCAACATTATTTATCTCTAACCACTCATTCAACCCAAGTAACAATTTTCGCATTCTATTGCGCCATCGCCGCCCACACCCAAACTCATCAATTACATTGCTGCATGACTCCAACCCGCTCTCGTTGAGTCCTTCATGCTCCAGACTGTTTTTCTTTTGTCGCCAGCTTCCATCGCTCATGTGCTCATTCCACCATTCCCTGCAAGACGACCACGTCACTTGGGGGACGATGAGGGAGATGGGATGGTTCAGGAGGTGTGTGGGCCTGCAGCCCCCAACTCCTCGACTCTCCTATTCGATCTGGCATCATCAAAGGTATGAAAATTTTTTATTTTATTTCGACTAGACCTGTGCAGCAATTGTCCTACCACTTGTCACAGTTGGTCTTTCCTTACCTCGGTCACCAGCAGCGGACGTCGGCAGTTACTGAGTCGTTTCGGTAACAAAATCGTTTCCTTACACGCTACTACTCGGCAACACTTCTTCGTAGCCGTGCATTTTCAAGATCTACGGTTCACATTCACATTCAATACTACCGACGGTGTAAAGGTATCAACATTATTTGCGGCACTCAGTTGGAGTTGGAGTTCGGTCTGGACCAAGGACTGCAAGGCATTCGAATCGGGATCAACGACCACGAGGAGGAGGTTGTTTTTTGGGACCTACGACTGAGGCAACTGGATCAGGACCAAGATTTAGGCAATTGGTTCAGGCCAAAGGACCAAGGAACTTACCCAGGATGCATTTGGACGTCGCTGGCCCGAATGGGATTACTCCCTCCGCCCGCGATGGTATAAGTTACAGGCAGTGCCGCAGTGGAGGCAAGCTGCGGAACTTGCTGAATCTGCTGAACTTCCCTCGAACCTCCCTCGGTTGACCATCCGCCAGCAGCACTCAGCGCGTACGCAAATCTGCAATCACACAGTCACTTCTATCAGCTGGTCTGAGGAGAGTCATTTCTTCTTCGCCAATTTTGGCGAAGCGGGTCTCACCCACCCTCGATCTTCCCACGGTGTGTGGGCCTTCGGCCGCCAACACGGCGACTCTCCTATTAAATCTGGCATCATCAAAGGGATAAAAATTCTCTATTTTATTTGGACTAGATATGTGCATGAGGGTCGCCGGACCCATTTTCCGGCTTTTATAATTCAAAAGTGGTCATTGTATGAACCAACCCGCAGTGCCTGGACACTCTGGCCGCAAACAGAAAAAAAAAAAAAAAAAAGTAATTAAAAAAAAACTTTAAAAAGGGGTTTGATGAAGAGGAAAAGAAAGGGAAAAAAAGGCGGCCCACGGAGGCCGTCCATCCGCGGGGCATGCGCTATGAAGATTCTTTTGAACATTCTTTTTCATCTTGTGGTGTTGCTTCTTGCGAACATGTTTGTGTGCGCGTCATAAGGTGTCTGCGTGCGTGTCATACCACTTCTACTTCTTTTTACCTTTTTTGGGGAGAGGGGAACAACCTTGAGATATCATTCTCGAACTGACTGAGGATCACCCTACGGGACTCGAACACAGGTGGGTATACTAAGGGCCAGATCCCACTGGCAAAGAGGATTATAACAAGTGTCTGAATTTTGACGTGTTTGTCGATAGGTACACTAAACTGTGATTGATCTGCGTTTCTGCATCTCTGCATGAACATGTCCAGATTCATTCGCAACCCTTAGGCTGCAGTATAGTGGGCTTCCTCGTCTGTGTCAAGGTGTCGCATTTTTGGCGGCGGGCGACCAGGACGCAAAGTGGGTTCTTAGGGGGCAAAAAAATTTGGGGGACCCGTCCTTGGCAAAATTGCGGACTACCTACAGTTAGCTCTGGTACAACCGGGACTTTTGGAAAAAGGAAGGACAGGTCCTCGGGTGGAAGTGGACCCCAAAACGAAGTAGGGGGCGTTGGACCGGTCCCTGGGTAGAAGCGGACCCCAAAAAGAAGTGAGGGCATGTGAACTGCAAAAAGACCCTCAGGCCTAGGCATGGAGCCCCGTCTTCTCAAAACAGGGAGGTCAGGCACAACGAAATAGGCGTTTTGCAAAAGACAACTTTGACGATTTTCTGTGCTCG